TAATGAAGTCCATATCATGCTGTGATACTGGCAAATGCGTGACAGTAACACTTCTGAAAACCACTGTCTGTGAAAACAGTTCATCACTGCATCCACAAATGCAAGTTAAAACTCTAAAACACAAAGAAAAAACTGTACATAAACAGCATCCAGAAACGCTGCCACCTTCTCTGGGCCTGAGCTCATTTAAAATGGACTGAGGGGAAGTGGAAAAGTGTCCTGTGGTCCCACGAATCAATATTTGAAATTCTTTTTGGAAATCCTGGACACTGTGTCCTCCGGGCTAAAGACCACTCAGCTTGTTATCAGTGCACAGTTCAAAAGCCAGTATTCATGATGGTATAGGGGGCATTAGTGCACATGACATGGGTGACGTGCACATCTGTAAAGGCACCATTAATGCTGAACGATATATACACGTTTTGGCAACATATGCTGCCATCCAGACGACGTCTTTTTCAGGGAAGGCCTTGATTATTTCAGTAAGACAATGTCAAACCACATTCTGTATGTATTACAACAGCATTGCTCTGTATTAAAAGAGTCTGTTGAGCAGCTGAAATCCTGTATCAAACAAGAACAGGAAAACATTTCACTTTCAAAACTACAGCAGTGTCTCCTCAGTTCCCAAACGCTTACAGAGTGTTGTTAAAAGAAGAGGTGATGAAACACAGTGGTAAATCATGGCATCAAATTCAAAAGGGGCATATATTTTTCAAAAATATTTCTCAGTTTCAACATTCGATATATAGATAAAAAAATTGTTGTATTTTCCTTTAAAAATATGTTTTACATGATTTGCATATCACTGCATCTTATTTTTCTTTACATTCTGCACAGCGTCCCATCTTTTTTGGAAATGGGGTTGTACTTTTTAAATAAAAAAACGACCACACAGTCATAAACAAAGTATGTATAAACATCCTCAGTGAAATTACATGTTTAGTTGATTTACTACACTATTAAAAAAGTGTTTCTTCAAGGTTTCTTTAGTAAAGGCATTTACTATTGTAATTAGAACCATTAGTTCCATTAGTTTTAGAACCATTTAGATCCATTAGTTCTTTATAGAGCCATGTCATGCTTAAATGGTTCTTTGCATGGTGAGATGGTTCTCCAGATTGATGGAGAATGTGCTGTAGATGGTTCTATTTAGCACAAAAAAGGGTTCTTCTATTGTTACGAGCTTGACATTGTACACAATAGAAGAACCCTTTTTAGTGCTATATGGAACTAAATAGGTTCTAAATAGTTAAAGAAGAGGTGATGAAACACAGTGGTAAACAGGCCCCGTCCCAACTTTTCAAATTCAAAATGGGCAAATATTTTTCAAAAAAACAATAAAATTTCTCAGTTTCAACATTTGATATGTTGTCTTTGTAGTATTTTCATTTAAATATAGGGTTTAAATGATTTGCACATCATTGCATTCGGTTCTATTTACGTTTTGCACAGCGTCCCATCTTTTTTGGAAACGGGTTTGTACTTTGGAGAACAAATATGCTAGCTAGTGTGCTAGCCAGTATAGCCAGAGGCATAGCACCACATTTTAAGCCCCTGGTTCAGTAGTGTTTGTCCAGACCCCCTCCCAAAAAATCAAGAAAAGAAAAAAATGTGTTTATGTTGTATTTCTTCGAGGTTGGTTAGTATGCATCTTAAATCTAGTTGATATATCTAATATACATCATTGTATCACTGTCAGACCCTCCCTTTCAGACCCTCACTATCAAACACTCACTTACAGACCCACACTATCAGACCCACACTATCAGACCCTCACTATCAGACCCTCACTATCAAACACTCACTTACAGACCCTCACTATCAAACACTCACTTACAGACCCACACTATCAGACCCTCACTATCAGACCCGCACTTTCAGACCCTCACTATCAAACACTCACTTACAGACTCTCACTTACAGACCCGCACTTTCAGACCCTCACTATCAGACCCTCACTATCAGACCCGCACTTACAGACCTGCACTTTCAGACCCTCCCTTTCAGACCCTCACTATCAGACTCTCACTTACAGACTCTCACTTACAGACCCACACTATCAGACTCTCACTATCAGACTCTCACTATCAGACTCTCACTTACAGACTCTCACTTACAGACCCACACTATCAGACCCTCACTATCAGACTCTCACTTACAGACTCTCACTTACAGACCCACACTATCAGACCCTCACTTTCAGACCCTCACTATCAGACCCACACTTACAGACCCTCACTATCATACCCTCACTATCAAACCCTCACTTACAGACCCGCACTTTCAGACCCTCACTATCAGACCCTCACTATCAGACCCTCACTTACAGACCTGCACTTTCAGACCCTCCCTTTCAGACCCTCACTATCAGACTCTCACTTACAGACTCTCACTTACAGACCCTCACTATCAGACTCTCACTTACAGACTCTCACTTACAGACCCACACTATCAGACCCTCACTTTCAGACCCTCACTCTCATACCCTCACTATCAGACTCTCACTTACAGACCCTCACTATCATACCCTCACTATCAGACCCTCACTTACAGACCTGCACTTTCAGACCCTCACTATCAGACCCTCACTATCAGACTCTCACTTACAGACCCACACTATCAGACCCTCACTTTCAGACCCTCACTATCAGACCCTCACTATCAGACCCTCACTTACAGACCCACACTATCATACCCTCACTATCAGACCCTCACTTACAGACCCACACTATCATACCCTCACTATCAGACCCTCACTTACAGACCCACACTATCTGACCCTCACTATCAGACCCTCACTTTCATACCCTCACTATCATACCCTCCCTTTCAGACCTGCATTATCAGACCCACGCTATCAGACCCTCACTATCAGACCCACACTATCAGACCCTCACTTTCAGACCCGCACTTTCAGACCCGCACTTTCAGACCCTCACTATCATACCCTCCCTTTCAGACCTGCATTATCAGACCCACGCTATCAGACCCTCACTATCAGACCCACACTATCAGACCCTCACTTTCAGACCCACACTTTCAGACCCGCACTTTCAGACCCTCACTATCATACCCTCCCTTTCAGACCCTCACTATCAGACTCACACTATCAGACTCACACTTTCAGACCCTCACTATCAGACCCTCATTATCAGACCCTCACTTTCAGACGCGTACTTTCAGACCTGCACTATCAGACCCTCGCTTTCAGACCCTCACTATCAAACCCTCACTTTCAGACCCTCACTTTCAGACCCGCACTATCAGACCCTCACTTACAGAACCTCAATTACAGACCCTCACTTACAGACCCTCACTATCAGACCATCACTTTCAGACTCTCACTTTCAGACCCTCACTATCAGACCCTCACTATCAGACCCTCACTATCAAACCCTCACTTTCAGACCCTCACTATCAGCTCCTTACATGAACGCCTCTAGTGGTTTATTTCAGAATTGTAGTCAAACTTTCCTGCCCTTACGGAGAACTTTAGCGTGACATATTTGTTTGTTTTTTTAGTACCAAAGTGTATACAGTACATAGTAATGCTGCTTTCAAGCGCAAGTGAGGTGATAGTTTTGTACATGGAGGAACTCGTTAACCTATCATGCACATTCAAGTTGTTTTTGTGAAGGATAAAGAGAACACTGAGGTTGTGAAATGGGTGTTTATTTGCTTGCTGGTATATCAGAACTGGCCTTTGGTGTCGTGAACCCATAGATGCTTACAAGGATGGATGAAGGTTCTTCAAAGGTTCTTTAGTAAAGGAAATGGCTCTATTTAGAACTATGAGTTCCACTAAGCCACTTATCCTTCTGGGTCGTGGGGGGAGCTGGAGCCTATCCCAGCAGTCATTGGGTGAAGGCAGGAAACACCCTGGACAGGTCCACATAGAACCATTTCATGCTTAAATAGGTCTTGGTGAAATGGTTCTTCAGACTGATATCTGAGGGTTTCTTAAACATTATGCAGTAATAGCAGAGTCGGTTCTCTGGTGAGATGTTACAAACGGCAAGCCTCTTGACCTATATGTGATATCATATCCGGAGCTGAGAGCGCGGGGCTTAGAGTGCGGTACTGCGGCTCTGCAGCTGGACCCCTCTCTCCATCCAGGAAGGGCCCTAGCTAGTCAGGTCCACCATTACCTGCCATATGGTGTTCCTGAGTAAAGCTGAAGTTGTCCGTTAATCTAGCAGAACTTTTACTAAGCTACAGATCACAACCCTTCCAAACGTACTAGCTGGATTAGCCATTGCACTACCTAGCTAGCACACTTGCTACACAAACAACAGACAAACCAAGTTGTTTTTCCTCTTTCTGTTAAACACACTGCGTCTACGGGGTGTAGAGCTTCGGTTCTGAAGGTTTTCTACAATGAACTTCATGTTGAAACTCACAGGTTTTAGTAGGATTCACTTTTGTGAAATGCTTAGCTGGTTAGCAAACCCTTAAAGGTAAAAAGAAGAAGAGGAAAGAAAGGAAAGTGCTGCTTTGTGCTGTAGAGTGAATGCAGTCTATCTGCGATTAATGATGTTTAGCTCAAGCCTACTGAGAACCGAAAAGAATGACTGAGTAACAAAAATTAAACAGCAGTGGGAGTTATTAAACAAATTAGCTTCACAATGAATGAAGAGAAGGAATCATATTGTTGCAGTTTCCACCCACATGCTGATAAGAATCACAATGATGTGCAATAAAAGGCAACTGACGTAGCTGTATTAGTATGAACTGTGTCATTATAATCCTTCACAGACTAAAATGTTTATATAGATTGCATCATTATACATCCTGAAGGACTAAAACGGCCTTAAATGCAGTTTTTGCGAGTGTGTTAAAGCAGTAAGGAGGCAGCTATGGTTTGTAATCCAGTCACACCACACACACACAGCCTGGTGTAATGGAAGTGTTTATGTAAAACAGTTCTTAAGAAGTGGAACAGTTAAAGTAGGTAAAGTCATTGACACGTTCACAGAGTCCATAGGTAGTGAGGAGTCTCCAGGTCCAGCCAGCTCCCACAAACAATCTCCAAGCTTCAGAAATAACCACCTTCAAGCTGAAGACTCCACTGTTCCTCCAAGCTTCAGAAAACACCATCTGTTCGCTGAAGACTCTGCTGTAAAGCCCAGATTCCATCGTTGGAGTTAAGTGAGGATCATGGGTTTTTGTGATTTCAGTTTGTTGTGCTGTTTGAGAATTCTGGAGGCTGTGTTTTGTGGTTTGGCGTTGCTAATCCCCATGTTCCGGGGCTCCATGAGTAACCCCTTTGGCATTTGGTGTGAGTTCGTGTGGACGTTTGGTCTGATCGTTGCTCTGGTCATTTTTCTGCTGGAGAAGTTCCTGATTGATAAGTTGGTGGAGATGATCGTATTGAAGCACTCCTGGGGCGATTTAGCTTGTGGACTTTCCCTCCAAGCTTCAGCCATGCTGCTGTCAGCCTCCGTCATCTACTGCTTCGTTTTCGTTTGTGGAGACCTCGCCTGCGTGGGGGACATTTTCTGTGCCATTTTCTCCATAATAGCCTTCATCTTCTACACGGTGGAAGCCGTCATGGCCAAGCTCAAGTGTCCAAGCGGCTATTTGTCAAACTTGAGAGGACTTTTGCGTTTCGCTCAAGCTTTTGTCGCCTGCATCCTTTTGGCCACGGTAACTGACTACTTCATGGGGGTGGAGAGCCACTACAGACCGCCGGCCATGGTGTGGTGCACTGTGGTCTATGTAGTCTGCTTCCCAGTGTCTGTGCTGATCATCCTGATCCACATCATCAAACTGCTGGGGGGATTGCTCTGCTTTGCGCTGGACAAACTGGAGGTCATCTTCAACATCATCGCAGTGGCGCTCTATGTGTCTGCTGCCATTTTCTGGCCAATCTATGCGTATAAAAATTACCATCGTGGCCCGGCACACGGGAACCGGATGCATGACCGGCGCTATCATGACCTGAACATAGTTACAGTCCTGACTTACGTGAATTTGGGCTTGTATGTGGCGGACCTGGTTTTGTCACTGATTTCTCTTTATAAGCGAATCTAAAGACCATTACGTCACCCTGGATATTTAAGAAGAGATGCTTTAGAGATCCTGTGGATGGGAGAGATGCTACACTGCCCACCGAAAGGTTGGGGATACTGAGCTTTTCAGAATGTTTTAATACAAATTATCATGTTTTCTTTGTTGTTTTGCAGTAATTCACTTTTTTAAAGCCTAAGCAGGTTTATTTTAGAGAATGGGTTCACAAACGTTTTAATGCCAGAAATACAATTTGACCCAAGAGACACCAAATATTTAGTGAAGCCTGTATGTTCTCAGTCCATTCTTGCTGAATATTACTTTTCTTACACTCAAACAAATTCTGTGTTAATAATTTACCAGTTTGGGTCATTTCTGTAACTGGGTTACAGGAATAAACTGACTGGTTTATAAGATTAACTCTAAAATATGGTTACATTGACCCAGCAATGAGTTCATTTTAGCTTTTTTCCTGGATTATTGTCTTTTTGTTTAAGTAAAATTATGCCACTATATTGGCTCTACATTAAGAAATATGCTTTAAACAAGCAAAGATATCTGCCAATATAGTGACAATTACAGTGGTGCTTGAAAGTTTGTGAACGCTTTAGAATTTTCTACATTTCTGCATAAATTTGACTAAAACTTCATCAGATTTTCCTAACAGCAGATAAAAAGAACCAAATTAAACAAATAAAATAAAATATTAGACTTTGTCATTTAGTTATTGAGGAAAATGATCCAGTATTACAGACCTGTGAGTGGCAAAAGTGTGTGAACCTTTGCTTTCAGTGTCTGGTTTGACCCCCTTATGCAGGAATAACTGTAACTAAACGTTTTCGGTAACTGTTGATTAGTCCAGCACAGCGGCTTGGTGGAGTTTTAGCCTCTCTGTACAAAACAGCTTCAGCTCTGTTATGTTGGTGCAGATGCAGCAAAGAAGGCCCAAACCATGATACTACCACCACCATGTTTCACAGATGGGATAAGGTTTTTATGCTGGAATGCAGTGCTTTCCTTTCTCCAAACGTAACGCTTCTCATTTAAACCAAAAAGACCTATTTTGGTCTCATCCGTCCACAAAACATTGTTCCAATAGCCGTCTGGCTTGTTCATGTGATCTTTAGCAAACTGTAGATGGGCAGCAGTGTTCTTTTTGGAGAGCAGCGGCTTTTTCCTTGCACACCACTGTTGTTCAGTGTTCTCCTGATGGTTGACATCCTGATGGTGAACATTAACATTAGCCACTGTGAAACAGACCTTTAGTTGCTTAGAAGTTAGATGGGTTCCTTTGTGACCTCGTGGACTATTACATGCCGTTGCTCTTGGAGTGATCTTTGTTGGTTGACCACTCCTGGGGAGCGTAACGAGGGTCCTGAATTTCCTCCATTTGTACACAGTCTGTCTGACTGCGATTGGTGGAGTCCAAACTCTTTTGAGATGGTTTTGTAACCTTTTCCACCCTGATGAGCATCAACAACTTTGCTCACGCCACAATACACTTCTACAAACATGTTGTGAAGATCAGACTGTGACAGATCCCTGGTCTTTAAATAAAACAGGGTGGTCACTCACACCTGATCGCCGCCCCATTGCCTGAAAACACCTGACTCTAATTTCACCTTCAAATTATCTGCTAATCCTAAAGGTTCACATACTCACTCACAGGTCTGTCATACTGGATCATTTTCCTCAATAACTAAATGACCAAGTCTAAGATTTTTGCCTTATTTGTTTAATTTGGTTCTCTTTATCTACTATTAGGACTTGTGTGAAAATCTGATAAAGTTTTAGATCAAATTTATGCAGAATTTTAGAAAATTCACAAACTTTAAGCACCACTGTATACTTAATAAAAGCCCTTAAAACAAGTTAAAAACATTAGAGATAAGTTTAATAATCTTATAATAAACTTACAACAAATTAAACGTGAGGAATATTAGATATATCAGCTACATTTAAGATAATTTCTTTTGTGAATATAATTATTTTTGCAGGTTATCTAGAACCATGACTTCTATATAGTTCTTCAGATTGTGAATGTGATGCATATGGTTCTATATAGTACATTATTGAAAATGGTTCTATATAGCACCAAAAATGGTTCTGCTGTAGTTCTACCATTTTGATACTATATTAGGCCCATTTACACTCTTAAAAACATGGTTTATCAAGGTTCTTTAGTACACAAAATGGTTCTATATAGAACCATGAACGCTCAAAGAACTTTTTGCATGATTAAAGGGCTCTTTGCATGTTGAAATGGCTCTTTGGATTGATGGAGAATGTGTTGTATTTGGTTCTATATAGAACCTTTTTGAAAAGGGTTCTACATAAAACCAAAAAGGGTTCCACTATGGTTAGAACCCTTATTGGTGCTATATAGAACCATTTAGAACACATTCTCCATCAATCTGAAGAACCATTTCACCATACAGAGAACCTTTCAGGTGTTCAAATGGTTCTATATAGAAAACAGTATATGGTTCTAAATAGAGCCATTGCTTTTACTAAAGAACCCATGAAGAATCATCCATTTTAAGTGTGTAAGTAAAAATAACATCCTCTACAGAGTTAAATATACTTAAATATTAAATATAAACTTAAATATGACTTTTTTTTGCACATTTTAGTGCTCGGAAGACACTTTGATGTTCATGAGGCTGAATGTTGAAGATTAATATACACACATCATCAGCACAGGGCAGCTTTATGATCACTACACCATAGAAACAGTGACAATAAAATTTTAAAAGAAACAAAATTTTAAAAGAAGGTGATTTTAAAGCTTTAGATGGACAGTGAGAGTGTATTCATGACCAGAAATCAATACTCATAATCTAAAAGTAAATATAAACTTGGTCTGTGTGTGTGTGTGTGTGTTTCAGTAGCCAGTGTTATAAATCTCAGAAAGATTTGTACAGATTTCTACAATTTAGGTTCCAGATGTAAGCAAGACTGTATGGGCAATGATTGGGAGTTTATCTAATTTATATCTATTCATTGCTTTGAAATGAATGATGGCATATATGATCACAACAAAAAGCACAATTTTTTGTTTGATGTTTCTTTAAAGCAGGGGTCACCAAATCTTATCCACATAATTAGCTGTAAAATATCACTTAATATCACAATGCCTACATTTAGAGTCGGTTATTCATTCAGCCTAATGAGAAACTGTAGAACAGACTCAGTTTATATCACAATACCTACATTTAGAGTCGGTTATTCATTCAGCCTAATGAGAAACTGTAGAACAGACTCAGTTTATATCACAATACCTACATTTAGAGTCGGTTATTCATTCAGCCTAATGAGAAACTGTAGAACAGACTCAGTTTATATCACAATACCTGCGAGGTCACACTGCTAGAGTAGATCAGGAGTTAATGAAGCAGTGTTCTGTTTTGACACACCAAAAATCTAGAACTCAATTAATATTAAAATATAATATTAATAATATTTTAAAAGAAGCGGAAAACATTTTATTTAGCTTAGGATTGTCTTAGTTTCCTGTTCCATTCTGTTCCTGTTTTTAGTTTAAACGTTATGTTATTCATTCTATTGTTCTTGTTTTTCATTCTCTCTATGTTTATTTTATTGTACTTTCTTTATATGTTAATGTTTAATTATTCTTATTTCTATGTGTTACTATTACTATTATCTTTATTAAACAAACACATCTTTCAATTGTTCTTATTTTGCTACTTATCATTTTACATACATGATTTTGATGTTTAATTTAATTTCACTGTGAAGCATTTTGAGCTGCATTTTTATGAGTGAAAGATGCTACATAAATAAAATTATTCTTATTAAAACGATTACTGTTGCCATGGTGGCTAATTTTTTTAGTCTTAGTCCTGGAGTCCTGGAGTCTGGCTGGAAAGCATTGCATTTAAACTGGAAACTGAAAGGTTTATGCTGTAACCTCAGTTCTCTGTGTGTGCTATAAAGCCCGTGTCAGCATTATCAGCAGGCTGTTCTCAGAGCAAATTGTGAAAATATATGAAAGTTTCTATGGAAACGTGTCGTTAAGTAAATCATTTTTATCACTCAAGTCTATTCAGAGATTTTCTTTTTTTTTTAAATCTCTGTTTATGGGGGTGGTGATGGTGGTGGTGGTGGTCATGGTGATAGTTGTGATGGTGGTGGAGGTCATGGTGATAGTAGTGGTAGTGGTGGTGGTGTTCATGATGGTGGTTGTGGTGGTGGTGTGTATGGTGGTGGTGATGGTGTTCAATAGAATGCAGACATGCACTCTCAGACAGATGCACTCTCAGCCCCAGTGGCGTCATGTGCACTCTCTGCCACAATGGCAGAAACAGCCCAATGGCACGGTGACTTTTGGCTGCTGCTGTTTAGTGACATCATCACTTAATCCATCTTTCATCCATAATACGGCTAGAGAGTTACATTTAATGCACCTCCCTGTTGAAAAAAATCATAGAACCCATTAAAAGTGTCTGTTGGTTCCTGGTGGTTTTCAGTAGTCGCTAATGGTATTCTGTGTTTTCCTGACGGGTTGATTTCACAGTGTAAAGGATTCTGATCGTTTAATCAGGTGTTCTGGGACTGATTCCAGATACATTTGACCGTTTCCTAATGGCCTCTAACGGCAACCATCAAGCCAATTCCTGTTAGGAAGCAAAACCATCAGGTTTTATTCATAACAGCTCTTCAGCCTGGCTTTCATGAGTTTCAGTAGCCTTTTTGTTTTTTCTGCGAATAAACCCGACATTCATTTCTGATCATCGTGGTTTTATTTTGAAAGTTTCCATATTTAATGACCTTATTATTAATATGACAGCGTTAATATATGTTCAGTGTAGCTCTTGTTGCCCAGCATTTCGTGTTTTGCTGTTTTTCCTCATAAAACCGACAAAAACACTGTCGTGGCAGAGCAGCACTAATAGGCTGGCGGTGCATGTCAGGCTGAGAGTGCATGTTTGCAGCCAGACCTTCTCGTTCATGGTGGTGATGATGATGGTGGTGGTGATAGAGGTGGTTCTGCTGGTTCCTGGTGGTGTGCAATACTCACTAATGGTATTCACTGTTTTCCTGATGGGTTGATATCACAATGTAAAGGACTCTAATTAACAGGTGTTCTGGCACTGATACCAGATGCATGTTGAAATGTTGAAACTGAAATATTTGCTCATTTTAAATTTAATGCCAGCAACATGTTTCAAAAAAGTCAGGATGGGGGCAACAAAAGACTGGTAAAGTTGTGTAATGCTTAAAAAAACACCTGGTGGTTAACTGGCAACAGGTCAGTAACATGAATGGGTATAAAGAGCATCTTAGAGAGGCGGAGTCTTTCAGAAGTAAAGATGAGGAGGGGTTCACCACTCTGTAAAAGACTGCACCATCAAATAGTGCAACAATTCAAGAATAAAGTTTCTCAACATAAAACAGCAA